ATTTCCTGCAAAAATAATTTAGCTACTTGCGAAGCATCAAAAGTCTTATTGCAAGGAATAAAATGTGCCATCTTAGAGAACCTATCTACTACCACCATAACAGAATCCTTGTTGCGTTGTGTTCTCGGTAGGCCGAGTACAAAATCAAGGCTAATATCTTCCCAAGGAGCGGTTGGAATTGGTAGTGGCATATAGAGGCCACTATTTTGTTTTACCATTTTTGCTAAATGACAGGTCCTGCATCTTGCAACCAATTTGGTCACATCAGATTCGATCTGTGGCCAATAAAAGTGCTCACCAATCAGCGCCTTGGTTTTGTCAATACCAAAGTGTCCTGCTAGGCCACCAGCATGTCCTTCAAGTATAATGGCTTCCCTTAATGAACATTGAGGAATGCACAATTTGTTATTTTTAAAAAGGAACCCTTCTACAATTTGAAATTGCTGATAGGGTCCAATTTGGCACTTCTTCCATAAGTCTCTAAAATCTGGATCATCTTGATATAGTTCCGTGAAATTGTCAAAGCCAATAACCTTCACCTGCATAGTAGTTAATAAAGAATGCTTTCTGCTCAAAGCATCAGCCACCTTGTTTAAAGTTCCAGCTTTATGAACAATAACAAAACTGAAAGATTGGAGAAATTCTACCCATTTCGCATGTCTAGCATTGAGCTTATGCTGCCCATTGATATACTTCAATGCCTCATGATCTGAATATAAGACAAATTCCTTAGATAGAAGATAATGCCTCCAATGTTCCAAAGTTCGAATTATAGCATAAAACTCTTTGTCATACGTCGAATACTTCCTCTTGGCTTCATTCAACTTTTCACTAAAAAATGCAATTGGCTTCCCTTTTTGGCTTAGTACACCCCCAATTCCTACTCCAGAAGCATCACAATGCACTTCAAACACATCAGAAAAATTAGGTAATATTAGAACAGGGGCCTCAGTTACCTTAACCTTTAAGATCTGAAACGCAGCTTCCGCCTCCATAGTCCATAGAAACTTGTTTCCTTTAAGACAATCAGAAATTGGTGTCGAAATGGAGCTAAAATCTTTAATAAACCTCCTATAAAAGGAAGCCAAACCAAGAAAGCTTCGGACTTCATGAATGCTTGTTGGTGTTTCCCAACCTGTAATTGCTTCAACCTTTGCTGGATCCATCTGAATACCATCTTTTGAGATAATGTAACCCAAAAAGGTCACGCTTGAGGTGAGAAAATGGCACTTCTTCACATTAACAAATAGCTTCTGCTCACGCAATGTTTCAAGCACTTTTCTCAAGTGGACCAAGTGTTGTTCAACAGATGGACTATATATTAAAATATCATCAAAATAGGCTACCACAAATTGACCAATGAAAGATCGAAAAACTTGGTTCATTAGTTGCATGAAGGTGCTTGGTGCATTACTCAACCCAAATGGCATCACCATCCATTCATATAAACCATCTCTTGTTTTGAAGGCTGTTTTCCACTCATCTCCAGGCCTAACTCTGATCTGGTGATATCGACTACGCAAGTCTATTTTAGAAAAAATAGTTGCGCCATGAAGTTGGTCAATCAGATCATCAAAACGTGGAATAGGAAAATGATACTTGATGGTGATTCTGTTAACAGCTCTGCTGTCAATGCACATTCGCCATGACCCATCCTTCTTGGGAACCAATAATGCTGGTACTGCACAAGGACTCAAGCTTTCGCGGACCGCCCCTTTTTTAAGCAATTCTTGTACCTGCTTCTGCAACTCAGCATGTTCTTTGGGACTCATTCTGTAAGCTGCCTTATTTGGAATGGCTGCTCCAGGAACAAAGTCTATGCAATGCTGAATATCTCTCATAGGCGGTAATATTGGTGGCATCTCCTCTGGCATTACATCAGCGAATTTTGTCAGTAAAGGTTCAATCTCCAAGGGAATATGTGGACCATTATCGTTTCCTTCTATCACCACTAGTGCAAATATCTTAGTTGCACCAATGACTTCTTCTAAAAATTCTGCCTTGGACAACATAGAATTCTTCGCCTCCTTCCTCCAATCTGAGGGTGCTAGTGTAATAAGGTGGCCATCCTTCTTAAAGGTGTAAGTATTTTTGAAACCATCATGTTTTGTCTTCCTATCAAACTGCCATGGCCTGCCTAATAAAATGTGACAAGCATCCATAGGAATAACATCGCACCATACTTCATCTGAATATCTTTTCCCAATTGAAAAACACACTAGGCATCTTTTGGTTACTTTCACCTCATTCCCTTTTTTAAGCCAAGACAGCTTGTATGGTTGTGGGTGTTCTTATGTTTTCAGCCCCAATTTTTCTACCATAGTGGTAGAAACCACGTTTTCACAACTCCCTCCGTCTATAATCACACTGCATACTTTTCCCCTGCTGGTGCACTTGGTGTGGAAAATATTGTGTCGAAGCCATGTTTCATCATTCACCATATCCACATTCAAGACCCTCCGAACGACTAGTGATTCTCCGGTATCAGCATAGACAATCCCCACCTCTTCAGATTCTGCTTCTTCTTGTTCATCGACATTGTCATAGATTGGTTCTTCATAAAAAATTGGAACCTCTGCAAATGTCACAATCTGTTTATTTGGACAATCTGCAGCAAAATGTCCAATTCCTTGGCACTTGAAACACCTCTTTCCTGTACTACCTCCTTTGATCGACCCTTCCTTGTTGGGAATATTTTTTTGAGGCATAGAACTCCTTCCAGCAGGTGAAGTTGCTGAAGAACTCACTGATTTAGCTCCGAATTCTTTTCTAGGAAATCTTGATTGAAACTTCGAACGGTCACCCTTTCTTTTACATTGTCCTTCCACCTTCAAGGACAGTTTGCACACATCTTCATAAGACCAATACTGTTGTAAGTACACAACATCAGAAATTTCATCCCGTAATCCACCTAGATATCGAGCAATCACTTGTTCATCTTCTTCGACCATGTCACAACGCATTCGAAGACGATCAAATTCAATGGTGTATTGTTCCACTGTAAGGTCACGTTGCCTGAAATTGTGATACTCAATAAAGGCTTCTTGTCTGTATTGAGCAGACAAAAATTTGTGCTGCAACAATTTCTTCATCTTGTCCCATCTTTGAATCTTAGACTTTCCATCTCTGATTCTTTGTTTCTTGACATGTTCCCACCAGATTGAGGCATGCTTCCTCAATTTGATTGCCACTAATTTCACCTTTTGCTCATCTGTGAGGTTTTTTAAATCAAAAACCCTCTCGACGGTGTGTAACCAGTCGATGAATACGTCAGGGTGAGTTGATCCCTCAAATTCTGGAATCTCGATCTTCATCCCAAAATTGGAAGTGAAGGGTTGATCACCGGTTCGACCTCTCCTTGGTATTTCGCGGTTCCAAAATGGATTTTCGTCCTCCTCTTCCTCTGGAGATGACAGTTCAGATTCTTGTCTCCCTTCTGACCCGTGCAACTGTGCCTCTGCAAGCAGTTGTTCGAGTTCTTGGATCCGTCTGTCCTTTTCCTCAATTTCAACATCTCTCGCATCAGTATAATAATCGTCATCGGTAGGTTGACCGCGTCCTCTGCCGCCACGACCTCTTCGTCCACGACCACGACCACGACCTCCGCGATTTTCCTGCTCAGCCATCTTTAAGGCAACCTGAGCTCTGATACCAAATGATGCAGAATTATATGGAAAGTAGGTTTTCAGGAAAATGCAGAAGTTTTCTGCTATATTATTATTCTTCAACAAATCAAAGTCTGCCCTTCACATCCTTCTACAAAGCCCTTTTAATCAGGCAACACATAACGTAAACAACAATAAAGGACTATCAATGATATTAAAACTGACACAAAACAGAAATAAAACTGACTCAAAACAGACATAATCATAAACCAAACATAAAGTCATGCAAACTGAAACGTCTGCAATTATTAAAATTCATAAAAGGCCTTAAAACCCCTCTAAATGACAATTATGATGACTTATGGTGACTCAAGTGCATCAGAAACTTTCAGGCCTATGGAACATTTCCACTTTTGATTCCGCGCTTTAAGTCATAATTGTTGGGACCAAACAATCATTCACACATAATCGCAAAATAAAAAAGAAAGATGACAAGAAAAGCGGAAATACAAATTTTATCCTGATTCATCGTGGGCTACGTCCAACAATATTTCACTACCTGCTCGTTTATTTGTTGACTTTCTTTGCGTCCCGTCAATAAAATTTGTCATCTAAATGCGACGTATGAGTCATTGCCTACAATAATGTCAGTGTAATTCTTGTAATCTAAGGACTAACTGTTCTCCACATTAAGTGGTTTATACATAGACCACTGCACCACCACAAGATGCATTATGCAGCATGACACAAGCAGTATTGTCAAGATATATAGCTGTATTTTGTATAAGCCAATACAAGTCAATCTGCCTAATCGGAACTCATCTTGGATTATTCTGTTTACCAGAGACATGTCTGATTGGAAACAGTGGGTAGAACCCATAGTTTGCTACCCATAGTTTCAAAATTGAGTATCCTATCTCCAATTAAAAAGAAAATAACAAAATTTAAGACCATTAACTTTTTCATAAAATAATGTAAGTCTTTGAGTTTTTAATTTTGGTAAATTTTTATTAATATCAGTTTATATCTGTCTAAATGAAAAGTATGATATAAAGGATGTGTCTCTGATCACACGTTTTCGCAAATCTAGTTTGAATTTGATTCAACCATCACACAAAACTGTTTAGTGAAGAAAATTAGCAAGTGGACTTAAATGAAAAAAAAAAAAAAAATTACTCCAAGTAACTAAATACCTTGTAATCACACTTGGAGATGTGTAAAATATAAAATTATACACTGTTTAGGCTTTGTTTTCTTGGAAAGATAATTAGTTCATCATCTTGTATCTGTTTTAATTTTATTTTATTTTTGGTGCTAACCATCACCATATTCCATATATCTGTCATAGCAAGTATTTATATATACAGCACTATATGAAAGTTACAAAGTAGTAGTTCATCGGATTTTCTTTTCCTTCAGTATTGGTCCTCTGGGAATTTTGTTGAGATATTTCTTGTCAAACTTCCTATAACTTTTCCTGAGTACTAGTATGATATCTCCGACCATATTGTTAATTTCTTCCTCATACCGATCATACAGAATCGGCAACGTTAGCATGCAGAGAAAACCTTGTCACGAATGAGACACCAACAAGAAAGAAAACAACTCAATAAACTTCATATTCAGTATAAAACCATAGACAAAAAGAAACAGGGTGAAGAAGTGCTCACCAATATATAGCAGATTGACAAAGCTGAAGCAGGTTCCAATCACTGACACTATATAGAGGGAAACAATGATCTGAAATTTTTTTGAGAAGTCATGAGATCTTAGGTTCAGTTATTGGTTGAGAACTGAAGTTTAATGAAAGACAATCAATATTGGTGATACCAGAAGAAAGTGTGGTAGGTCTTTTCCACGTGAAATATGGAGAAACATTGGTAATAACTGGTTAAATCTTCTGTGGAGGATGGAAGCAAGATCTTTGAAGAAAGAATCCTGTAAAATAATTTCCGGGATCTGGGGACCATTCCTGAAGATATATTTATGAACTTATCATGATTAATTAATTGGTCAGAATCTATGTACATAAAACATATAAGAAAATCACCTTACAATTTACCATGCATGCACTTTATTAGTACATTGAACTAAAAGCAGAATGTGGATCGAAATTGATTAATAAGCTAGTTATAAGACATGTTATATGACATAAAGAAGGGACTTTGAAAGTCTCGGGTTTAATGATTTAGTATGATAAAATGGTCTTTTGGCACAATTGAGTCATTCTTGAAAATTTGGTATTATTTGGCAGTACTTCTACAAGTTTGATGTTAAGCAAAATATGTACCATTTTAATATATCTGCAGCTGTGGTCCATATGAATAGTACAAGCATCGTGGTGATTGAAATGTGACAAAAGAGAGTCACAAAATTGTACTCAGCGATCTCAAATAGAAACCATATCACCGTTATCCCAAGCAAAAGCGCAGCTGATACATTTCTGTTCCTCCATAATAACATATCTGCCACTGCAAGTGAAGTTTATCTTAACAACCAATTCAACCCAAAAGCTTAAGTTATTGGGTGAGACTAAATTAATGGTTTTATATATCTCAACACGCCCCCTCACACGAGAGTCCACTGGACTTGAAGGGTGGACAATGCATAGGCCCACCTACATGTGCGAAGAAAGAAATTCTACTAGAAAAAAAATGGGGGGCGGTGAGAATCGAACTCGAGGCTCTGATACCACGTTAAAAACCAATTCAATCCAAGAGCTCAAGCTATTGGGTGAGACTACATTAATGGTTTTATATATCTCAACAGTTTTCAATTTATCAAGATTAATTCGGGGATTGTAAAAAGTCGAAACTTCATCTAAAGCTACATGTCTAGCGTAATTCTAAGAAAGAAAAGATAAAAATGATTAATGTCATTTTCAAGATTAACCCTCTCATGAGTTGCTAGCAAAACGCAAGTGCAAATGTAGGGAACAATATTATGCCAATGAATTTATTATAACATGCCAAGGCCCCTTGTCCAACATGAATCCATATAATATGACTAACAAACTATGGAATTGAATTTAATGGTACCTTTTCCTCCTCCAAGAATTTCATGTATCGGTTTTTCATGTTCAAAGAGCTTTGGCCGTGTTGTTATAATTTCATTATCAGAATCAGATGATGCATTGTGCGCCATAGTTCCTTTTTTTTACTTATATTGTATTCTTTTGCTGCCATCTTTTGATCCTTATTTATATTTTTCATGCACAAGCAGAGGAGATTCTATGCTCAATGCTAAAGTAAGGAATGACTTAGGGTTAAACATAAGGATACCTTTGCATTAACGCCACCACTCTAAAAGTCTAAAGCATCTATGCCCTGAGTCTAGATGACTCTTCTATGTTGGCAACCAATCTATGAATTTTTTATGCAATCCACGCGTTTAAAAAAAGATTTATTATGCATTGTTCATTTTAGAAATAATTTTTATATAAGTTAAAAATATTTAGATTTTGAAAAAAAAATATTTTTTTTTTGCTAAAATGAAAAAAAATATTGAACTTTTGACTTTTGCGTTTTTAGAAGCTAAAATGTTGTTAGCTTCCAAAAAAAATAAGTTTTTGATTTTTTTGTGGCCTCTCCATTTTTTTAAAGCAAATATCAAAATACTAATTTGTAGTGAAGACTTTTTTCTTAAAAGAAACCATTTTTGGAGAGAGAAAAAAATCCATCTAAACGGCTCGTAATGTTTTTGTGATTGTAAATTAAACTACTTTGCACTATCTGTACTAGAATGAATTAGGTTTATAGGATTCAATCAAATTGATGCTAAGTTCGGAGAGTGGATCCTCTCGTGTTAAAATTTTACATGATCTGATTATATTAAATTTTTATGTCTACTTCTCTCTTCACAAATATTCAATATGTGGGCTCCAATATTTAACATTATTGAAGAAAGAGATAAACACAAATTTCACATGAGCCATGTAAAATTTTAATACGAGAGGATCCAATTTCACTTTGATACACATACAAAATTAGGATATGAATGAAACTTTTTTTACGTTATTAAATTTATACAAAAATCATGTCAATACTTTTTTATATATATACATTTGTGTATAACTTCATATACTTTTTGTATACAATTTCGTTTCCTTTTTCTTAATATTCCAGCGTTGTTTCAATTTTTATTTTATTTTTTGTGTGGTATTAACGTTGTTTCAAATTAACATGCACCTCCAAACGACAAAAATATCCATCATTATTAAATAGCTGGACAGAGTTAGAAGTAGAGAACAAAAAAAGCAAGAGGGCACAAAAAGCAAGTTAGGCTGCCTGGGACTTTGTTTTTTTGTACATTGGGCTAGTTGGACTTTGTCATTTATTGTGTATGTGTACGTTTCCCTTCCATCCAACATGAAAAGCTGAGTTTATTAACCCCAAGGGTGGCATACTTGGTAGCGAAGTGTGTCCTAACGATTGGGTCTTGGGTTTAATTTTTGAAAAAAAAATTGGGGTAGAGGTGAAACCCTTGTGCTCTGAGCCTCGACGAGGGATTAATCTCATTCTCTCTCTGGTGACAATTGTCCAATGCATCCTTTGTTCCAATGAGGAGTTAACTCTAGGACAGTACTCTGAAGGTAAGGTGGCTGGAGGGGGTTGAATAAAGATAACTCCTCGTTATACCAAAAAAAAAATCTGAGGTTATGATGAATATGTGTAATCGTGGGACACATCTTTTTCACTTACGTCTTATTCGGCTACAAATTTTGTGATGCACCTAAGATTGGCTTAGAAATATCCATGTGTGCTTCTGTCGGTCATTTTGGGCTTTTCAGTTTTATTCCATATTTTTGGGCTTTTTAAGATTTTTTTAGGTTCACTTTCATTTAATTTTGTTCTGCCTATTTAAGGCATAACCCTATTATTATTTGGTTGTTTTTGGAGAAAAAAATTAGTCTTTTCTTGCAATCCTTGTGTTTAGTCTTTCTTTTTGTTTAGTCAATGGGTAATCAGAGCTCTGGTTGTCACATAAATGGCTAAACAGAACAACAGCTGGTGAGGTCGAGGTCGTGGACGACGAGGTCGAGACAATAACGGTAGAGGACATGGTAACGGCCCCAATGGCGGCGACAAGCAACCACACATTGACGTAAGAGGCTGTATTGGCAGAAAATGATATGCGAATTCAAGAGCTCGAACAATTGTTTGCCCTAACGTAGTTGAACGAGTTAGATGAAGGAATGGAGTTTGAAATATCGTCTCGTGAGGAAGAAATGAGCAAAAACTCATTCTGGAACCAGAAGCGACAAGGACGAAGTCGACTAGTCCATCAATCTATTTTTTTCCAATATTGGGATAAAGATTGAGATCCTAAAATTTGAGAGTCTCACATATCCATATGAGTTTATCAATTGGTTAAATACCGTCAAAAGGGTCTTTGACATCAAAAACTTGACATAAGACTAGAAGGTTGAATTAGTTGCTATCATACTGAGGAATCATTCCTCAATTTGGTGGGAACACATTAAGAAGCAACGAACCAGAGAAGGAAAGTCAAAGATGTAATGCCCGACCACTTGCAGGATCAATGATTGTCCCCACAAACCAACACGAGACTTTTCAACGTGCTTTGTCCTCACTTACACACTTCCTGAGAAACTTTCCAACATGTCACCCATCTCAGAATTGCTCTAAGTCAAACATGTATAAATATGGAGTTTTAAAGTTATGGGTTACCAAAAAGCAGAGGCGGAGACAGGGGGAGGCTAGGGTGGGCGGCCGCCCCCTTCCCCATCCCAAAAAAAATTTGAATTTTTTTTTAATGCAATTAAAGGCTAAACGTGGTACTATTGTTACTGTTAAATGTGCTTCTTCTGGGTTCTTTGGTTTGACATCCAAGTTGAAATCTATCTCTACTTCACCTAATGTGTGTGTTATGTATAACCTTTTCTGCATTTTCTTTTTTATTTTCATATGCTATGTTTTGGTTAATGAAAGCTTTGGCCTTTTTGCCACCCTTTTTATTTGTATGTTGTGTTTCTCTTTGTGTAGTGGTTTCATATAGAGAAAATGAGTTTGCTCTAATTTAAAAGATTCACTTTTTTGGGAAATTTGGTTACAGTCTTCTATTTTTTTTTTTTAAAAAAAAAATTGTAGTTAAAAGCATTGTTTTAGTTAAGGCACTCTTTTTTTTTAATTATTGCTTTAAACTATTTTTTATGTTTGTTAGACCCGGGCAACAGTACACTTTTTAGTCTTTGAAATGTTGTTAAATGTTAATATTTTTGTAAGAAATTATCTAAATGAGTTCCATAAAGGCATGAGGTCAAAAAGTAAAGAAAATACTAATATTATGCAAGACAAAAAAATTAATTTTCGCCCCCCTCCCCTTCAATCCTGGCTCCGCCACTGCCAAAAAGTAGACGTATCTTATTAGTATATATAGTACCTATTAATTCCTTTAAGTTATCCTCAACTATACAGTCTCATACCTACACAGTCTCTATATCCCTCTAGATGTTTTTAATTCTTCTTATTAGTATAGGTAGTGCCTATTAATTTCTTTAAGTTATCCTCAATTGTACAGTCTCAACCTGCACAACCTCTGGATACCTCTCGTTCAGGTATTTTTGATTCGATTCATTCATGTACCCTTCTAGGTGAAAGCCTATTAAGAGCCTCTTCTTGTTCGTGCCTCTTCTCTTTTGCACCAACAATCACTCCCTACCCTCATCAACGCCCAAGATGTTACAAAAGATCAATAGTTGAAATAAGATGAAGAAATTATTGCAACAAAACTTCTTACATTTTCACTACCGGCAGGAGGCATTTATTGAGTACTACAATCTCAAATAGTATATCGCCAAATTTGACCATCTGCATTGTGATATTGCTAGTGTTTTACAACTCGACCGGTCATCGACTCAGTCGAGTAACTAGGTCACTGGGTCACTGGTTCAACCGGTTCAATTAAATTTATATTAAATTATATAATAAATATATTATAAGGTGCATTCTGACCAATAGCTAAGGTATTCGAGTGGTATATGGTAACACTACTCACTCTCACAGGCTGAGTTTGATTCCCAGCCACTGTCAAAAGTAGAATATTTTGTCCAATTTTTAAGGGAGAAAATAGCTTGACCTGCAGGGTTCCATTTGACTCGCGAGTCACCGAGACTCGGCCCAGTCAACCAGTCAAAACTAGTTCAACTGTATGACTGATGTAATGGCCAGCTCGAACCGGTGCCCTCACCGGGTTACCAAAACACGGGTCGACCCGACCGTTAAAATTATCCCATATTCCCAGCAATATTTGATAATCAATCAAATATAGAATCATAAAACTTGACCAACATTCCAAGTAATATTTTGGCCTACCAAACAAATTTTTGGTAATTTTCTCAGAAATTCACTTTCCCACCATATTTTTGGGAATCATGATTCTCGGGCACAAAAAAATTTCTCTTCTACTAAACGTCCCCTCAATACTAAATTTTCAGTACTAAAGCAACACATATTGCGACACATGGATTAATTTTCCATATTAGTTTGATTACGTGGCATTAACAATTGCACTTTGTGTTACGGTAGTACCAAAAATTCAGTACTACCGTGGAACTATAGGTATTCTCCTACTAATAGAGTATCCATTGTAAGCTTTCTCGTACACAGATATTTGGCACACAAAAAGCCGATGGACACTGTTTGTCGCCACATATATTATTTCTTTTTCTCTTTTTAGTAAACAACATATATCATTCATGGGAGTGACGTGAGCCATCGAACTCACTCAAATTAATCAGATTTGTAAAAATAAGGATTTATAATAAAGTGGGCAACCTGAATCGTCTCTTTCAATGAATTTGCAAGGATCTTAATCTGTCAATTAAAAACAAGAAGTAAAAAGGGGGTTTTGTGTGATTAAAAAAACAAAGTAAAAAAATGGATTTAAAAATGAAAACTATCAATTAAAAGCAATCTACCCAAGAATTAGGATTCTAAAATATCCATCATTGGACAAAGGATTACCAAATCGTGGTTGACCATAAGCAATTCGGAATCCCTGCAATTGCTTAGGAATCCCTCTCTAGACGATCGCCAAGCGTTTGATCAATACGACACATCTACTGGCGCAATCGCGGAGTATCAACCTGTTTGACTTAATATCGTCGGGTTAATCAACCTAAA